TATATATATATATATATATATAGAGAGAGAGAGAGAGAGAGAGAGAAAGAAAGAAAGAGAGAGAGAGAGGGGACCATCAAATTTTTAAAGGAAAGAAGAGAAAAAGTTGGAGGAAAAAGAGAAATTACAAGAAAAGTTAGAACTTTTAGAAGAAAGTAGGTATTAGTTAGATGTTTAATTTTATTCATGTTTTTATGTTTAGGATAGTTCTAGAGTAGATATTGATCATTATTTTCATGTTTGAATGCTTGAAACCTTAGGTTAGAAGTAAATTTTGTGTGTTTTTGAAGTAAATTTTGGCATGTTTCTTGTTGTTGGATGAAAATTGTGCATGGTTTTGAGTGTTTGGTGTTGAAAAATTGAAATTTGAATGTTGGTTACAGAAGTGGAGAGTTTTAGCCAAAGGTAGAAGAAAGGGACACAAAGAAAATTTTCCAAAAAGTCCAAGGCAAAATGGCCATTTCACTTCCCAGGGACATAGATGGAAACTTTTAAAAAGATTAAGAGTATAATGGTAATTTTAGTAATGATTTTGGGACATAAATAGAATAGTAGAACATGTTCAAGGTATAATTAATTGGATTTTTAGAAAACAAATAGGGGTATAATTGAAATTTTTGAAAATAAGCAGGGGTAAAATTGGAAAGTTTAGAAAAATCTAAGGATAAAATTGAATATTGTAAATAGGTTAGGTACATATATAATTGGATATGGAAAATTAATTAAGGAGAGTCATAGAATGGTAAGAAATGATCAACGACATAATTAAAATATTAAGAACTAAATTAATGGTAGAATTGAATTTTTTTAAATAATAATAATAATAATTAAAAGTTTGATTGAAATTTTAGGATAAAATTAGAAGTATATTAGGAATTGAATTTAAAAGAAAAGTAAAGATATAATTTATTAGTTAGTTGAAAATAAAAGTTATTTAATTTACAAACTGGCCATTCATTCGAGAGATAACCCTAATAATCTAGCTTAGTGAAGATCATCTTCTAGAATGTTAGGGGGATTGCCAACGTGAGTACATGTGGTGTTCTAACTAATATTTGTAAGTCATACAAGCTCGATATTGTGGTGCTCTCAGAACCTTGGGTAACTTGGGGGAAAACTCTTGTTCTGTTTTGGTCGATATTGGGTATGCAACTTTTTTCTATCAACCAAAAGAGCTTGCTTTAGTCTAACCTTTGGTGTCTCAGTTCGTATAATGTTTCTCCTTTGGTCTTATTGAGCTCTAGTTAGTTGGTTGTTTTTTCTTTGATTATTAATGGTTGAAATTGTTACTTTGCGGTGATTTATGGTGCAACCTTATATAGTAGAATATGTGTGCTTTGGGGTCCCTAGCTATTTCTTGGAGGTTTTGTGCCATCCTTGGTACGTGTGCATGAGAAATAAGGTGGAATACAACTGAGCTCAAGGTCTTGTGGGGAGTTTTCTACATGGTCTAATAAGCACCACCTAATCCACTTGCAGTAATGGTGTTACCTACACTTGGATGAATGGTCGGGTAGGTTCCTAGTGTGTAGACATGCACTTGGATATCACCATTTGTAATTTTGATTGTATGTATTTTAGGCCTATTATTTGTAGTACATTGTCGCATTGCAAATTTGATCATCACCTTATTCTAATCTTGTTAGAATGCAATTCATCTAGACCTGGTTTCTCTTATTTTAAGTTAATGGGAATGTGGGTTGTGCACCTAGATTGTACGCGTTTGGTTGAGGAGGTCTAGCGATCAATGATGGTGTGTTGCCTAATGTTTGTGTTACAATAGAAAATCAAGCTTTTGAAAGTTGTGTTCAAAGTTTGGAACCATGAGGTGTTTGGTAATGTGCATTCTCGTGTGTTGGAGGCTAGGCAAATATTAGAGGATGTTCAACTTTTTAATGGGGGAATTTTGACTTGGAAACTATGGCTCAATTGGAGTATGAATAAGCTTTAAACTTTGAGGATTCTTTTTGGAAGGAGAAATCTCGTTTGAATTGATTTATGAAAGAAGATCTTAGTATTACCTTTCTCCATCGTACGGTGAAGCTTCATTGTTCTTGTAGGTCTTTGAATTCTCTTAGAGTAGGAGATTCAAATATTGATGCTCCAGAGGATATTTGAAATCATGTTCTTCAATACTACTCTTCCTTGTATGCTTCGGGTAATTTCTACATTCCCAGTGAATTAGTGGAGACAGTGATTCCCTTTTGTGCGACTCTGGGAGAGAATATTATGCTTACTAACTTACCTATGCAGAAGGAAGTCAAAAGTGTTGTTTTGGCAATGAGTCCATCACAACAATCTTCTTTAAATCTTTTGAATATTTTTTCCTTTATATTTTATTAAAATAATTTTAATTATCACTCTTATTATTAGAAGCTAAAATGTAGCATTTTCTTCTAAGATTCTAATATTATGAAGTTAATCAAAATAAGGTTAATTGGTAGAAAAACTAAAATCCGTAATGTAACATATCCAACTATGATTTTTTGAAATAAATTATTTATAAACCTCATGAGATAACTTTGTCCTTATAATTAAAAGGTCAATAATGTCCTTAGACTTAATTAATAAAATTATCGTTATATTATGTGTTTATAGAGATGTAATAATAGGACTCGAAATGAGTTGAAGCTCATTAGGGACACTCTTGGCATGCATACGAGGGAGGGAAAATAAAAGAAAGGGAAGAATAGAAAGAAAGAAAATGAAAAGTAGAAAAAGAATAAAATAAAAGGTAGGATGAAAAACAAAGTTCTATATTAAATTTTTCATCTCAAATGAATGATCAATTATCTAACAAGTAGTGACTGAATAACGAGAAAAAAAAATACATATTTTGCTTTCAAAATTCAAGTAATATCCCTTTACAAAAGAGTTATATTTACTTTAATATTTTTAACCCGTTATCTTTTTGAATATATAATTTTTATATTTATTTCAATATCCCTTTTTAATATGTTATTTCTTTAAATATACCTTTTTCATATTTATTTTATTATATTTAAAAAAATATCAATAACTAAAAATAATTTTATATCACAATATAAATTATTTGTCATAAATCTAAAATATAATTTATATCTTCAAAGCTATATTATAACTTTAATTATAATAGAATATATATATATGTAGAGGAGGGTTCAAACGATACCGGTGTAACTTTTACTAAGTGTTACACTGCTCAATAACTTTAAATTAAATGTGAATTTTGTAAATCTAACCATTAGATTGAAAATTTATATCACTTTATATGTGTATATCAAATTTTGTTAAAATTGAACAATAACTTGAGGGTAATCAAAGTGTTCATATTTTAGTATATTTTGAAATAAATATATTACGTCAATTTTGTTTTATAAGAATGAAGTATCAAATCATCTTGGATTAATATAAAATTTTGTATATATGATCTAAGAGTAAAGAACTTTCAATCTAACGGTTGAATTTACGAAATTCACATTTAATTTAAAGTTATTGAGTGGTGTAACACTTAGTAAAAGTTACACCGGTGTTGTTTGAACCCTCCTATATATATATATAAGAAAAACACATAATTTGGTCCCTTATAATAATTAATAGTTTTAATTTTGTCCCTCTATAATTTTTTGTTTCAATTTGGTCCCCAATAATTTAAAAAATGTCAATGTGGGACTTTCCGTCCAAATTTTACAAACGGTGTCAAATGTAGATGACGTGGATGCCACGCAGATGCATATATGGCAATCCTTCTTTAATGAACCTGGAACGGCCTGTTATAAAACCAGAACGGGTCGTTCTGATCCCACTCGTTATGTGTTAATTTTGTAACTGAAATGCCCCGTTCCAGATGCGAATGTAACACACAACGAGTGATTCAGAACGCACTACTACAAGACACGTTTTCTACATCGGTTCCGTGAAGCCATCTACATCGGTTCTGAAATTGATGTAGAATAGAGCGACGTAAAAAATATATAGATTTCTACATCGGTTCTCAGAACCGATGTAGATTAAAACATAAATCTACATTGATTTTAGGTGAACTGGTGTAAAATTATATCCTCATCTACATCTGTTCATAGTTGAACGGATGTAGATTTGTATTTTTTTGTTGAAAAAATTTGTTTATTTTTAAGTTTTTCTTATTTAACCTATAAACACATCAAATCACCATACTTTTAACTCATTATTTAATAATTAATAAACACATCAAATCACCATACTTTTTTTTATATATACTTTAAGTAATTATTAAGACATGATCTACTACACAAGTTGCAACAAGTGTGTAAAGAACTTTAACTTTCCTCTAGTAATTGATAAGGGTCGCCTCCTCCAAAGGTTGTTCAAATGTCACAATTACTAGCTCAATGGAAGGTGCTTTCTCTAAAGGCAACAAAGCTGAGCTCTCCACAACTTCAGATGAATCATCTTGGGCTTTAGTTTTCTGCCCATGGACCCCCCTTTAGAATTTGTAGCAGCATTGTTCATGCCCATGGCTGAGGCATCAACAACTTTGGTCAACGCAACTTCTTTATTCAATGCTTCTGAAAAAGTTGCATTACTTTCCTCTGACAGCGATTTCAACAACTGGAATGAAGCAACCATCCTTTTAACATTATATTTTTATCTACAATATATAAAATGAAAATGAAGGGATGAACGACATACATATCCAAGGTGATCCCTGATTTGGGAAAAGGAACCGGCAGATTCCTTTAGGCTATGCCAGGCTTCTTCATCCACTCCAAGGAACCTGTCATTATTATTAGAATTTACAATAATTGGAATGAAGCAAGCATCCTTTCAACATTATATTTTTATCTACAATATATAAAATGAAAATGAAGGGATGAACGACATACATATCCAAGGTGATCCCTGATTTGGGAAAAGGAACCGACAGATTCCTTTAGGCTATGCCAAGCTTCTTCATCCACTCCAAGGAACCTGTCATTATTATTAGAATTTAATTAGAATGTAATTTTAGTCTTTAACTACATCATTCAATCACATATCAGATATGTACATAATAAGTTTTTATTGAGTTTTATAATAAATAATTTTCTAATTGATTCAAAGTATAAAATGTCAGGACAATTAAACTCTTATTTCTAATAGCATCCACAGTAGTTATGTCTTAACATTATGTTAAACTTAAACAACTTTCTTAAAAAAAATCCATTGGAGAGAATCTAAGTGGCATATTGAGCAAACACAAAAAAGAGACGGTTTAAGCCAAGGTTCCATTTTTATACTAAAAAACAAGCACACTCCAAAGTCCAAACCAAACGAAACCCTCAAAACCCTAAACAAAACCCCTCTTATCGCCGTCGCAACCATGGCGGAGCTGAGACTCTCGAAGAGCCGCGACCTGACCTAAATCGAGCGCGTGGGTGCGCACTCCCACATCCGCAGCCTGGGGCTGGACTCCTCCTTCTCCCCATGCGCCGTCTCGAAGGGCATGGTGGGCTAGGTCGCCATGCGCAAGGCCGCCGGTGTCATCCTCCAGATGATAAGAGAGGGGAAGATCGTTAGGCCCGCCGTCCGTTGTTCAAGTGCGGCGGTGGCTCGTTGGAGCCGAAGTTCTCGACTAGAGTTTCGGTGTCGCGGCGGGTGTGCGCGGTAGAGGCTTCCCCACAATGCTAGGTCTAACCAAAATTGAACAGATTTCTTTGTTGAACAAGATGAACATAATGTTCTTCGTGGAGAAAGGGCTCCAACGCGAGCCAACATATGCGTCTCAATACTACATCGGTTACTGGGTGAACTGATGTAGATGTATTTGTAATTATTCACAAAATTGCCACCGTGCATTCAAAACGACATTGGTCCCACTAAAAACGATGTAAAACGCTCAATATTTACATCGGTCTCAGCCATAACCGATGTAAATATGCTTTACATTATACTCTTATTTACAAAAATGCCACCACATTCAATTTTTACATCATTTTTACCTAAACCGATGTAGAATTGACGATGTTGAACAATCACTTTCTAGTAGTGACGGGCCATTCTGGTTTCAGAACGGGCCATTCTGGTTTAAGCACGGCCCTTTCTGGATTAAGAACGAGCTGTTCTGAATTTTAAAACCTGAACCATTCAAGGTAATGAGTCAATAAGTTAGGATTTAATTGGTAGATTATTAATTGAACTACATGACTCAATTTCTATTAATTTTTTTAAAAAATATTCATGTCATATATATTTCATATTTATAAATTTTAATAAAGATTTTATATCATACCTTAAAAGAAGCTCCCAAAAAAGTGTAGTCAATATAATACTAACAAAATAATCAAATTATAGATTGGTTAAACCGCATAAATTAATATATAATTATAAATTTAAAACATATTATATAAATATTATTTAAGTCAATATTGGTTTAGTGGCCACAAAAGTAGTATTAATTACATTCATTGGGTTTCCATGTTGTCTAAAATTACCTATATTTTTGTTGTGTAAAGAAATACATGAGAACATTGTTTTAAAACATAAACACAATCAATCACATTAATTAATATATAAATAAATATATAATTTATATTAGAGATATAGTATAAAATATTGTAGGTCACAAATATAACACTAGTGCATTGCTTCATTGGTTTCTATGGCTCTTATTATTTGGAAGCATGGGAGATTGAATCCTAACTTATCCAAAAGATTCCCCTTTTACTTTTTTTTTTTTTGGATATTTTTATAAGGCATGAATCAGTGGTTGATAGACAGAAAAACATTGGAAAGCACAAACAATAGAATAATAGTCATTCTAAAGAGTGCATCAAGGAACTTGAAATCTAAAAGAAAATAGATAAATTGATTTGACCTACCTCTTACCAATTTAATGGTCCAACCAAAAAATCAGTTGGGTCACACAGTTCAAAACAGGTCAGTGACATATTCAATCCAATGAAAGACTCAAATTGATTAAGTCACCAAGTCTCAATTCAATCGATCCTGTAAACTTTTCTACCTCAAAAGGATTTAACAATATATTACTAAGAAAATGATGTACTTTTTAAAATTAAATTCTTTTACAATCAAAGGTAAAAGGATTCACACGTCTAAATTCACTATATAAAAACTCCAATTATATTAAACAAATAAAATAAGGATTAGTTTGCAAGTAGGAACAACATGACCTTTGCATATTCTCCAAAGAAATCAAATTTAACAATGGTATAAAAACTTTAAGTTTTCAAGGTAAAATATAAAGAAAACATAAACTATTCACTAAATATAATGTTACACTAATCTAAGAAAATCCCATCAAAAGAAAAATTGAAGGCTAAGCTTCCCCATCCTTAGGCTCAAACTCACCTACCTCAAGCATCAATGTCAAATCACACATTTTCACTTCTTAAGGACTCATGTAGACTCATGTTCTTAATTCTATATACATGTGGTATGAATCTCAAAATCAAACAAGGCACTTAAAGTCGAAGTAGTCTAAGAACACATGGATAAAACATAAGGCCACCACACAATAGACACCTAACTCCACACAATTCACTCTCAGTAGGAGGAATTGCATCAAGAATCATTTGGGGTATCATAGCTGAGCGTGGTCACCTCCCTACAACGTTAAAGGTTCTTCATTATAACACTCACGAGACCAAGGTGTAAGACCCTTCTACATAAAAACATATTTTCTTTTAAACAAACTATGCATGTATGCATTGACTCCAAGCACATCACATCAAACACAAAACAAATGCAGATGAAAAGTGCTACTTGGATTTTCTCGCAATCAAGTTTTTGCTTGAAGCTTCTCATATCACACATCATCTCACATCTCATCATTCACCAAGGTGTAAAATGTTGCACCCAATATTCCCAATTTAATCACAACATATCACACATCATACATCTCATAAGTCTTGACAACATCTCTTGAACTCTTATCTTATTCACAATTATTATCATTCTCATTTTTTCTCTCTAATTCCTCAATTATACTATCACTCTATCTTTTTCTCCTATTTAATTACATAATCAAAATTCTCATTTACTTCCCTCTTCTTTTATTAATTAAACATGCAACTCTCTCATACTCTTAAACTGTTGACATTGCACCTGATGAGGTATTCCTTGTGCCCAATACAGAGAGGTTAGGGGTCTCCCTATTGCATTTGTGTTTGGCATGGTTAAACTCCCACTCAATGAGACCACTCATGTAAAAATCAATGTCAAATAATTCTTAACAAGATATTACTTTTGGCCAACATAAGAGGTTAGGGGCCTCTCTGTGGATCTTGTTGTAACAGCCCATTTTTCAAGGGCCAAAGGCCCAATTCGTGGCCGGAACGGGACGTTTCAAAATTGAAACGGGTCATTCCGGAATAGGATGAATGCCTAAAAATGTAGTGGCAGAACGGGCCGTTCCAATTGAAGAATGGGCCGTTCTGGTTTGGAGAACGGGTCGTTCTGGAAGCAAAACGGGTCGTTCTGCTGGGTTTGAGAACGGGCCGTTCTGGTTTTAAAACGGGTCGTTCCAGTAGAGAAATTTACGTAGGTTTGAAGGGCCTAGAACGGGTCGTTCCGCTTTTAGAACGGGTCGTAGTGGTAGGTGAGCCAGAATTCCTATAAATAGGGGGCTTCACTTCTCATTTTTCACACACCTCTCATTCTCATTCTTTCTTCTCTTCTGTTCTCTCTTCTTTCCATCTTCTTCTTTTTGAAGACCAAGAGGAATCTAGAGGAGGAGGTTTTGCCCTAGTTTTAGTTCTGGTTCCTGTTTAAGGAAAAAGAGGAGGAGGTTCTGCCCTAGTTCCTATTTATCCAGGTACGGGGGAAAAGGGAATTATTTATATGTAGAGTTACATGAGGGAATCGGGTAGAGGAAGAACCCGTAGAATTATAAGTAATTTTATAATTATTTTCTATTTGAAGAATTATTTGTCTTATATGATTCTGTATATATTTAGGACTATGAATATATATTTAATTTATAAGAATGATGATTAGAGATGTCCAGAGACAGAACGACATACCCAAGTGCTGTTGGTATCTTTGGGGTATTTAAGGATCAATTTGCAATGATCAACAACATGTGCAGTGAGTCCAAGCCCCCTGTTATCCTGTTTCAATTCCCAACCTCAACCTCAGCAACATCTTCCGACATCTAAATTTTTTTTTATAATAATTATTAAATAAAAGACAAAGCAGTTAATTGAGAAATGATTAGACACATCAGATCCAAGAGTTACAACACAGTGCTGAACAGTGGACTGGAAGTTAGACAAGACGCGGATTGTTTCGGAGTTGCGATCCGAATAGAGAGAGCCTGAAAACGCGAATTGGGGTGAAAATAAAGAAAACGCGAAGGGGAATTGGAATTGGAATGGTTAGGGCGAATACCTGCGAAGAAAGAGGATTGGAGGTAGAAGAGGAACAGGGAGAAGAATGCAGCCGCACACACCAGATACAGAACGGTGGGTCTCCGGTTAACGGAGGGTACTTGCTTGTGCGGCCTCATTGGAGAGAGAGAGAGAGAGAGAGAGAATGTGACTTAGTTATCGGAAACGACGACGTTTTCTGCTCTGATGAACATTGCCGACATTCTTTGCCTCAGATTTGAGATGTTCTGATTTCTGAACGGACCTGATGCCAAAATTTTTAATAAAGTCCGGTGGAGCTGTGATTCAAGTTATCTTTCTCCATTTTTTAGAATATAAAGTGAAGGTTAGAATTGTTGGTAGAATTTCATACAACAACATTTTCTAAGTAATATTTTTACAAAAATATCAAGTTATTTTTTATGACATTTGTAAATCTATTTTTTTTTTGTTTAAATCATTTTAAAATTTAGAAAATACTCTTAATAATATTAAAATAAATCAAATACTTTCTTTTTATATTTCTTGAAATAATATGTTTTTAATATATTATTTATGTGAATATGATTCCTAAAAGTACATTATTCTAAGAAATAAACACTTTTAAGTATGTTAAGAGTTTGATTATCTAATTTTGAACAATTTATTTGGTCTGATCTTTTTTCAACTTTTTTTTTCCTTAAAAGGAAAAGTTTGGTCAAACACTTTTTTTTTTATATTAAAAGCTTTAAAAAAATTAAGCTAAATTTTGAAAGCAAATAGCTTTTGATTAAGATAATAGGAGCAACTTTTCTATGTCTCAAGTAGAGTTTGTTTATATAGTCTTTTCTTTGAATCCTAATGAAACCAAAATTATCATATTTTAAAATTCTCGCTAATTTTTATATTTTTGTTGTAACCTCATCTTACTTTTTGCTTGGATTTGTACACTAGAAGTCCAAATACTTGTCAATTCAATTAAATCATATTTAATTTAGATAGATATATATGAATAAAGAAATAGCAAGAAAGAAAGATATCGGAATACACCTTAATATCATTCATGGCAACCAAAATGACATTTATTTAGTTTGACTACATAGTAATAAGACTCATAATTAGGGCCTAAATTATTAACTATATTGGATTAAAAAAACCTATGGTTTTCAAAGGGATTTTGGGGTAACGGGAGAACTTGGTCTAATTGGGGGGTAATCTTTAAAACCCATCATCCTTTTTCCTTCTGATTTAGAGGTTGCAGGATGACTTGGTCCTGTTGGGGGATAATCTTCAATGTTCATTACCATTCTTCCTTCTAATTTAGAGGAAATAGGATGACTTGGTCCTGTTGGGGGGTAATCTTCAATATTCATCATCATTCTTCCTTCAGATTTTGAGGTAATGGGATGATTTGGTCCTGTTGGGGGGTAATATTCGATATTTATCATTGTTCTTCCTTCTGATTTTGAGGCAATAGGATGACTTGGTCCTGTTGGAGGGTAATCTTCGATATTCATCATTGTTCTTCCTTTTGATTTTGAGGCAATAGGATAACTTGGTCCTGTTGGGGGATAATCTTCAATATTCATCATCATTCTTCCTTCTGATTTTGAAGTAACAGGATGACTTGGTCCAGTTGGAGGGTAATCTTCGATATTCATCATTGTTCTTCCTTCTGATTTTGAGGCAATAGGATGACTTGGTCCTGTTGGGGGATAATCTTCGATATTCATCATTGTTCTTCCTTCTGATTTTGAGGCAACAGGATGACTTGGTCCTGTTGGGGGATAATCTTCAATATTCATCATCATTCTTCCTTCTGATTTTGAAGTAACAGGATGACTTGGTCCAGTTGGAGGGTAAT